TTTTTTTTTTTTTTTTTTTTTTTTTTCGAACGGATTAAAAAAAAAAAAAAATTACGATGACCCGATGTCTGCCATACACTCCGCCGATTAATTAATAAACTACGTACGAGATATATCGCGAGATTGAAAATATGTTTTTTTTTTTTTAATAAAATTTATGTATGTATGTAACATAAGTAGTATTTAATTGTCAGGTTGCAGCTGGTAAAACATTTTTTAACCCTCGAAAAAAAAAAAAAAAAAAAAAACATCAAACTCTAGCGATGATTGTATTTATTAGTTTAGGAAATATATATAATAATAATTGGGTCACGTATCAGAACGTTTTCTCTCTCTCTCTCTCTCTGTCTCTCTCTCTCTCCACATGTACTTGGCGTAAGCTTACATAACAAATGCATTGACAAAAATAACAATGGGAAGATAATTAATGGCTGGGGGGAAGGTAGGGAGATAGGGAAGAAAAGTTTAATTCGTCTTAATGTTTACAATTGCAATTATTATTATTATTATTATTATTATTATTGTGAACGGTGAGGGGAAGAAAGAAAGAAAAAATGACGTCGAAAAGAGGGATTCGAAAAGACGAAAAAAAAAAAAAAAAAAAAGCAGACGACGACGACGTCGTCGTCGTCTACTCCGTTAACGTAAGAAATTTGCGTGAGTGGTGACGTCACAGCTTGGTCGAGCGGGATATCGATTTGTAAAGTCTCTCTCTCTCTCTTTCTCTCTCTCTCTCTTTTTCTCTCACTCTCGAAAGTGGTACACAGTTGAGGGACCGGATCGTTGAAAAACGTCGTGATTCCGTGTCAAAAGAAAAAAGAAGAAAAAAAACACGTTAGAATCTCGGTTGTTTTTTTTTTTTTTTTTAACGTTTTTACGTTTTTTTTTATTTTTTTATTTTTTTTTTACGGACGTAGTAAGAAATGACGAACGAACCGGAAATTAAGAGTGTAGAATTATTTTTCGTAAACGTTTTAAAAAGGGTTGTTTGTTTGTGACGAAACGAGAAAAGTTTAATGAAAAATTGTTTTTAACGAATATATATATGAAACTCTAATTTTTTTTGGTTGTTGTTGTTGTTGTTGTTGCGGTCAATATAAATATACGTGTGAGATAAAAGGGTAGGAAGGAAGGAAGAAAAAGAAAATTCGAGAATAAAATAGTTGTTGTGTGATATGTTCGCCATTCGCGGGCCGAAACAGTTTCGATTGATTTTTTTTTTTTTTCTTTCGAATTAGTGAAGAAGAAAAGTATATATGTATAAATAGGGCAATGAATAAATAGTCGAATGTTGGGGGGGGGGGGAAACGTCGAATGGATTCATTCGTATCGGATTTTTTTCCCTTCAATTTTCACACTCACACATGACCGAAAAAATTTTCACGACGTTTTCTTCATAGAAAATGATGATGAATAAAATCGATTTTTTTTTATGATATCACTCATCATCATGTATGAGACATTGTAAAAAAAAAAAAAGAAGAAGAAAAAGAAAAAGGAGGAAAAGGAAAAAAACAAACAAACAAACAAACAAACACGATACACCGGAGGGGGGAGGATATGCCTTGGCGTTAAAGTTTTTTTTTTTTGTGTAAAAGGAAAAAATGGTGACTCGATATTCGACGCTGGGGGGCAAAGAACCCACGATTCATTGTTTCGTACCTGGTTATAATCCCCAATTGAGGCTATTGTCAACGACGCCCAGTAATAGTAGTAGCAGTGGTAGTGGTGGTGGTAGTAGTAGTAGTAGCAGTAGTAAGTAAAACACTTTGAGTGAAATATCGTCGTGAATTGAATATTAATATTTATTTATTTATTTATTTATCGAAAAGGAAAAGGAAAAAAAAAGAAAAATGGTTGCAATTGTATAATGTCCTTCAAATTAAAACGCGAAATTACTTTTTAATATCTTTTTTTTTTAGTTATTATTATTATTATTTAGCTAACTGCAAAATTTTTAATGCATTGATGTGTTTGTACGTGTACATGTGCGTGTGTCTGTGCGTGCGTGCGTGCGTGTAAATTTTCTTTGGTAAAAAAAAACTGAAAGCTATTGATTTTTTTTTTGTTTTGTTTCAAGTCTAATTACGACCGATTTGCTTACTTTTTTTTTTTTTTTTAGGAGAAGTGCCTGCTTTCCATGGTAGCGGCACATCAGGAGGAGGACCCGGAATGAGGGGATTGCACCACGCCCCTCCAACTCAACCTCCTACACCCCCAACGTCTCAAGAAATCAAACAACCGCCATCTCACATACCACTGCAAGCACATCAGATGCCTCCTCAATCAGGTTTGAATTTAAAAAAAGAAAAATTTGTTTTACGTACTAAACATGAAATTAGGCATGTTTTTACGTGGTATAAATTATTTAATTAACAATAATGATGATGATGATGATTCTCGTTTGAACAGGTGGACAGATGATGCAGTATTCAATGCCGGGGACAGGTCGTGGAAGCACTCAACAAGCTTCGTTTTTTCCATCGAGAGTGCCACCTGGAAGTCAGAGGATGGCCGCTCATGGAAGACCGTCTGTAGTTATGTCCAATAGTGCTCAGTCATTCATGTCCCAACCGGTATTTAAAAAAAAAAAATTTTTTTTAAATATTTAATTTCTTTTTTCGTTTTTAATTTATTTTATTTTCGAAATTTTTTTTTTTTTTTTTTTTCCTTTACAGGTGGTACAACCTGTTTACCAAGGGCATGTTTTGTCGACTCAAATGTCTGGTCAAGGGCCCGTCTTTGTAGCTCCTCCGATGAACCAACCTTTTCCGATTCAACAACCGAGACATTCAAGCGGTTCTTTTTTCCCCACTCCTCAAATATTGATGCCGCAGCCTACCGTGTACACGCACTACCCCCAGCAAAGTCAGTCGAAAACTTTAATTACAAAAATTTGTTTTATAAGGAAATTGTAAACAATTTCCTTTTGCGGAGATTCAAAGAATTTTCTTTTTTTTGTTTTTTTTTTTAGTGTATTACGCACAGTCCATACAACCGATGTCTAGGGCGGGAGGTCCAGCACCTAATTCTCAGGGTGCTGCACCTGCTCAGCCACAAATCCGTAAGTCTTCATTTTTTTAAATGGGGGGTACAAATAAGCTATAAAGACAAAATTCGTTCGTTTGTTGAGTTTTAGGAAGAGAATTGAAATTCTCATGGCGGTGAAGCGGAAGTTTTCTTTTTCTTTTTTTTTTTTTTTTAATGAAACATAAAAAAAATATTATTCTCACATAAATATTTAAAAGAGAATTTTTAGAAATTTTTTTTCGAAAGTAGATTCATTACTTTTACTTAGGGAAAAGATGTTATTTATTTATTTTTATTTTATTTTATTTATTTTTTCTAGTTTAAAAAAAAAAAAAAATTAATAAAATGGGAAATTGCCATTTTTTAACATCATTATATTACCGTGTGTTAAAAAATTTTTTTTTTTTTTTTTTAAATTAATAATAATAAAAATAAAAACTTTCGTTTTCCAAAAGATCCATGGGAAATTTTTTTTTTCTCTTATTTTATTATATCTTTCGGGGGGGGGGGGGGTAAAAAATCTCGCTCTCATTATTGTTTGTCCATATTCCAGCAATGACTCTCCAGCCGATTTCGGGTCACAGTGGCGCCATGATACCCAATCCGGGAGTTACGCAGCAAGTTAAACCTCGCATTAAAAAATTGCTTACCATTATCGATCCGGACAATGGGAGAAACGTACTCGAAGATATTAATGATAATGATCACGTTTCATCAAGGTCGGGAGATTTCAGCGCTAGGCAAACACCACAACTCGTAAGTATTATTATTATTATATATATATATACGTCGTTAAATGTTTTTAGCCCTCCCTTACTTGCCCCCCATTCACCCCCACCCCCCATTAAATGTCCACGGTAAACCTTTCGAAGAAAAGGGTATAATGTTTCTATTTTGGTAATGTACGTAGTTATTATTATTATTATTATTACTATTATTTTTTTTAATAAGTACATTTTGAATTGCGCGTTTTGTTACGCGAAAATTTCTCTTTCTCTCTCTCTCTCTCTCTATCTCTATCTCTCTCTTTCTCTTCGTTTTATATGTTTTTTATTTCGTACCGGATTCATAGGAAAGGCAAGTAGTTTATGATTATTATTATTTCTCCTTTTTTTTTTATATCTCTCTCTCTCTTTCTCTCTCTCTTGTAATAATTTGGATTTCCAAAAGTCGAAGGTTTTTAAAAGGCTTTATTTTTTTTGGGGGGGGGTGGGAGGGGGAGGAGAATAAAAAAAAATTAATAGTTTCACATAGGATGAACAAGGAAACAGGTTTGTTTTATTAATTCTACGTAATAGAAAGGAAGGGGGTCAGGGTGGGGGTGGGGGGCAAAATCGATGGATAAAACAAACAATTATAGGTAAAGGGTTAACGATTAAAGGTAAATAAAAATTTAAAAAAATCTTCGACAAGAGGAAATCCAACCACGTTCGCAAAAAAAAAAAAAATTCAAAATATTTTAATTGGAATGATTAAGTTATTATTATTATTATTTATTTATTTTTTTTTTATTTTAAAAAACACGTGGTTAAAATATTTATACATATATAAAGTACAAAAAAAAAACTCGACCGTTACATTAATGCCGATGATATGAATCTTCATCTAAGAACGAGATTTTTTTTTTTTTTATTTATTTTTTAAGCCGGTTACGATAATCGATCCCGACACCGGCAGAGATGTAACTAATGATTTTAAAAACGAGAATTCTTCGTCCAAATTGCAAGGGTCTAATGAAAGGATGTACCAAGATACGACTGTAAGTACTACTACTACTACTTCCATGGGGGAATTTATGTTGGTTTTTGTTTTGTCTTTTTTTTTTTTTTTTTTTTTGCTCTTGATTAAATATGGCGCATATACGAAAAATACGATTTGAAAAGAAAAAAAAAATTGTAATTTTTTATATATGATACGTACATGAATATCTTTTAATATGGTACTCGATCGATCTCTATAGTCTCTTCCGGTTGTGAAAAAAAAAAAAAAAAGTAAATTTTAAGTAGTAGTGAAAAGATGTTTGATTATTACTTTACACGTTATGCACACGCACACGCACACGTGTGAGTTATTGCTTAGACGCGAGTGTGTAATGTGTACGTGTGCGTGTGGCTTTTTTTTTGTTAAGATTTCAGGTAAATAAAATTTTCTATTTTTCTAGCAGCTGCGCATCTTTTTCTACTAATATTATTATTATTATTATTATTAATATTAACATTAACACGTGCAAAACTGAAATTTACTTTGTCATTAAAATCAAAATTGTTCAGTTGGTACCGCTCCCTACCCCTCAAAAAATTTTTTTTTTTTTTTTTTTTTTTTTTTAATAGCGTGATCAAGTCATTGTTTGTAGCGTAGTTGTTGTTGTTGTTGTTGTTGTTGTACACACCGAGTGTAAAAGAAAAATTAATAAATTAATAAATTAAGTATAAATATTTAATATAAATTAATTATTATTATCATTATAATACATATAAATATACGATTTAGTAATAACTTGATTAGTTTGTCGTCTTGGTTAGGCTTGAGTTTTTTTTTTGTTGACTAATTTTACAAAATCGTTAATACCTTAATTATTTGTTATTTTTATGTGAAAGATATTAATAATAATTAATAATTTAAAAAAAAAAAAAAGTTGTGGTCCTGTTTGAACAAACTAATATAAATTTAATAAATTGTATTTGAATTTTTATTTTTTGAAGAATGCCGGGCAGAAGACTGATCAAGGTGTTGCAGCAGAATTTGCTACCCGCGTAGCCATCGCTGCCAGGGTCGATCATTCGAGATCTCCTAATCCGGTGGCTTTGCAAAAGTCATCTTCGAGAACTTCAAATTATTCAGAGAGTGATTCGCAACCTTGTCCCGAACCTCAGATAACAAATACGCCCTGTAAGAACCGATTCATTAACTTACGTTCACTATTATTATTATTATTATTATTATTTATAATTGTGGGTGATTAAATCGTTTTATTTTTTGGTTTTAAAGGTGTGTCGCCTTCTAAGTTAGATTCTTCGATAGATAGTGCATCGAGCGAAAATCAAATTGTAGAAAATAATATAACGTATGATGGTAACCAACCTGGTGGAATGGTACGAGGGGGTTGGCCACCTGTGCTGTCGGGAGCTAACATGCCTGTGGAAATAATGCCAGTGTCCATTCATCCCGGAATGATGATTCCAGATGAAATGGTGAGAGCTGGTTCAATACCTAACCAGTCTTCTAGAGAATATCCAGTAAGATTTTCTTTTTTCTCTTCTTCTTCTTACATTAAAATGTGAATGAGTGAGGAAAATTTTTCTGTCATTTTTTTTATACATGTTATTTGAATTTCAATTTTTAGTCTGTGCAACAGCAACCTCAATGGGTTCCCGATAACAATACAGTTCCAGTACCAATTATAATTAGTGAAGAATCTGCCGCCCAAGTGGAGGCTCCAACTCGCCCAGAACGAATCACTCCAGTGGTTAGCGCTCTGACTCAAGGTCCGACTGTCGAAATCAGTCACAGACCTCAGAGAGAACAGTTTCCAGTCCTTGGCAAAGGTCATCAGCAACAGAGTCCGGTGAAACGAAAGCAACAGAGGTCGGAACAATCTCAGGAACAAACGGAAGTCAAAGTAAAAGACCACCAGCAGCAGCAGTCGTCTTCAAAAGTACAGGCGACTCAGTCTGCTAATAAGCACAAATCGACGACGTCGACGACGACGACGACGACGAACGCGCCGACCGACAGTAAAAAGCATCAGCAGCAAACTCCTCAGGACAGTGACGAATACGTGCAATCTGTACAGACGAAAACAGTTAGCGAACCAAAAACGATAACGATTAAAAAAAATGATAATGATAATTCCGGAACAAAAACTAAATCAGATGACAGTTTAAAAAATAAAGAAAATAATAATTTAGAAACAAGGAATTTAGAAAATGAAAAAGATGTCGTTCATGAAAGTAATTGTAGTAGTAAAAGTGAAAATGTCAAGTGCGACGTCGTATCGAAAGAGCCAAAAGACCGTTCTCCGGTTCCTCCGTCTTTCGAGGAACCCTCTGGTAAAAAATCGGAAGAGGAAGAAAAGACGGCATCGACCTCCTCCTCCGTCAGTAGTAGTAGTAGTTGTGTTCCTGAACCGGAAGTTGTTCCGGCACCCGCGGAAGACAATGCTTCGTTGAAAACAAACGGAGACGTCACGACCGAAGAAGAAGGTAAGTCAAAAATTAAAAGAATTTTGTTCAGAAATTTGAGACTTGAAGCAAAAGTAAGTAAGTAAGTAAGTCAAATTCCGATGGGGGTCACGAGGTTTTCCATGAGGTTTTAAGGTAAGAGAGTGGGCGGTGATTTTGTTGAGAGAGTGTTTAGGTAAAATCAAACCGTTGTGATCATCATTATTGAAAAGGATGGGGGTATATATGGGTTCCTTCGGTTAGTTGTTTTATACCATCTCCATCCCAAAACGGATTTTCTTTAAATGAA